ATAGGGAATTGCACTATATATATATATATATATATATGATCTTTGTTTTATTTTCTTGGTTCACCCGGACAAACCCGTTTTCCTGTTCTTTGCACTTCTCGTCGAGATTTTTCTTATCTGTACAATTCCTGCTCCGGTTGCTGCTTCATCTGGCCCATGATGGACTCTCGGTATATAGACAAGTTTGAGGAGCAGTCCTCGGAGAACGTTCTCGAGTTCACGGACGAATATCTGGCTTTCGACTTATTCACGAATCTGAGAAAACCTCAGTTTTATGGTTATATTTTTTTTCGTCTCCCTCTTTCCGATACCACTTGCACAGCAAAGACCCCTTCTTTTTTACAAAGCGGCAACGTTGCCTGAGAATACCTGCATGCATATTTATATACCTACTTCGGCTTTTGCAGTTTTCAGATTTTCTTTTTGTACTATATTTCATACATGAGGTATCATTACGATAGAAGATTTTTTTCACAATCGATTGCAAATTTGTCATTTTTCTTTTGCGATACACGTAACTTGTATACAGCAAGCTGGCAGATCATTTAAAAAATCTCCAATAACGAAAACACCAATCCGATAGACAAGAGAAATAACTTCGTCCGCGTTAACGAAAATTATCCTCCGATATGTCCGACGGACTAACAAACTGGGCGAATGCCGGCGCACGAGATTTTTCTCGTTAATTTATGGGTCCGACATGCAGGTACCTACAGCCTTGCAAATCGATGTGCGTGCCGCTGCAATTCCGCCGAACTTTATTCGCTTTTTTTCCCTCCCCTTTTTATTTTTTAACATCCACGACGACCAGTCGGCATATCGACGTTCCGTAAAAATTTTCGGGTGAAAACGAAAATGCAAATTGGCCCGCGCACGAAACAAACACGCCGCGCCGCGGCGCAGCAGCCTGAATGCACAGCGATGTGCATCATGCTCGATGCAAATTCATTCGATTTCTGTTCGGACGGAAAATATTTTCAATTTAATAAGCGGGTCCGGGCTGTGCCCTTGTCGACAAAGGACGAGAGACGAGTACATGCATAATGCCCCGTGAAAGGAAGAATATGCACTATACTCGCGAGAATATTAAAATCCGATTTCATTATCTGTCACGTGCACTCGTGGAACTCAGTTATACAGGATTGCAGGTATTTACCCTGACCGTATGGTGTAGCCCGTTATGAATTTGTATATAAGTACCGTAGTACGTTCTGGACTACCATCCCTTTGAATATATTTAACATTGAGATACATATTAGTACGCTTGGACGTATGTACGTATAAGTATGCGTAGACAGACTTGTATCAAATCCCTTTGTACCGGTAGTATTTACCCGTCGAGTGAGCTACTTCCTTCCTGTCTGATGTCAGCCTGAATAACAGTGCAAACAGGAGGTGTACAGATTAATTCTTGCGAGATAATCCGAGAAGCCAGCTTAGCCCGGCTAAGACCCGGCTAAGATATGCAGGGGAGCATACATAAAAATCGTGTACTGGCACATGCTGGCACCCGAATGAGCATCTTGGATTCAGTATCAAATCCAAAAGATCTTATGTACGAATCGCTTTATGATACTTGACTTGGAAAAATGAAATCAAGGCCCACGCGTCTCGGGAAGACGTTCCGTAGGTGGTGCAGTCACCTGGCATGAAGAAGATCTAAAGAGAATGGACGTTGATCACGCAACCGGCAATCGGTCCGGAAAGATCCTAGAAATCGACAATTCATGGCCCACTTCCGTTCGGGAAAGTTTCGACTCCTTCAGACTTTTACTCGACTACTTCGTACAACATTGTCGATTCGTCTTGGACTTACGTGGACGCTATACGGGAACAGCTGATCTAGTTAGAGGGGTGGGCAGGTTAAACGCAAGACTTTTCCAATAGTTTCTCCGAGGAAGTGTACTCGTAGTGCAATTTATCTAAAACAGAGTATAGCGAGGGACAAAGGGTCAAGAAAACAGCAAAGCTATCCGATAAAATAAAGTGAAACTGAATTTTCTCTGTACATTATTAGCGTGGCTGTCATACCACTAAGAATTTCGATGACCTTTGACCCGTCCCTGTAATGATCGATCTCTGACGATTTAATATTAGTTTCCACTGGGGAAATTTCTGTGAAAAACTTTCGATCTCGCGGAACAAGCCGGATATCCAATTGGAAGGGAAATGGGGACGGAGTTATTCAAACGGACTTTTCTCATCAATCACTTGGTTTATAGACGGAAATCTTGCCATCCTCTCTGAGTTCCATCCAAAGTCACGTACACATTCCTTGCCTCGAAGCCATATATGTATTTTAATCTGACGTATAGGTCCTGTATATATCACGCGTCATAGTCGCTGCAAAACCCGTGGTAACTACGAATTTCGAAGTGCCAGTGCATTTCGAAGCAGCGTTATCTCGCCCGACGACGACGGCGTCGTTTTGAATTCTATATTAACTTGAATTGCCTTCCTAGCCACGTTAGATCGTTTAACGGAATTACTAGATATAGGTGGAGCATACGTGACGACGTGGACCAGAATGCACCACGCGTAAATTTTCCAATTAACGGAAATGTCCTTTTCTATCGTATCAACGGCTTAACGTTCTCTCGCATCACCGCGATAAATTTGTTTTGGTTTTGCTGCATGTGCATACTATAATACACACACATAATTACTTATAGGCGCACGTACATATAGACGTAGATAGGTCCATGAGCGCAAGACATCGATCTCACCACGACGAGGAGCGTCGCGACGGAATCCGCAATTTTCTGCGGATTAAAGCCAAGCATTGCTCTCAGTCTAGGAGGAAAAGAAACGGCGACGTCTGTGCGCACAACGTTTTCCTCTCTTTTGTCTTTATCTTTATTTCCTTATTTACCTTGCTCTTTCGGCCTGAGACTTCGGCAATAAATCTTTGGATTTTCAGCGATTGATAATTATTATTATTATTATTTTTTTTCGATAGCATCCACTTTTAGTCTTTTCGTTCAATTCTTTAGCTGCAGGTATAAATGTGTGCTTTGTATCCATACTCATTGTGCATGGACGCTGGAATCGTTCGACCTTAACTTTTACGGCTATTACGTCACTGGAGCATAATTTCTAATCGCGCTATTTTCTAGACGTAATATCCGCGTCACTCGATGCGACTAGCACATGTATTCCAATGCGATTACCAGCCGCGATACTGTGGCCACGTCCCTCGCTCGTGAGGGTTTCCCGGATTATAGGGTTCGAGATTGAACACGGGGGAGAGATAGGCTAATACGGCAGATAAAGGAGACTGTGCATGCTAAAGGGATAAGAATCGATCCGGGATTAGGAATTGTGAAATATGTTTATTCTTATTTTCTGTCTGTATTCATATTATTATATAATTATTGGAAGTGCATTGTGGGATCCATTACTGCACTGGCTTTAATGAATGATATTCAGTTTGCCGATCTATAGTTATCAGTGGACTCTGTGGTTAGTCTTAAAGGAGAACCACGTTCAGTTTGGTATTGCTTAGAGGAGAAGTTAAGCCCAGGGAAACTATCGGTTTAAATTGAAGTGGATACTTACTATTCTAATATGGTAAAGTGGTTAATTCAAAGCAAGGGGGAGAATTCCCGTAGACAGTTAATTCCACGTAGTATAAGGAGCAAAGAATGGACGAGGTCATAGATTCAACAAAGCCAATAAATTATTCAGTTGGTATAGGTGCGATGAACTGAAGACGTACAGTGAATATCGACGTATAATTAACCTAATTACACTGTGCTCCATCACTCCTAGAAAATTCGAACTGGTGTCGAAGGGTATAAATATGTTGTTTGAACTTACATTCAGGAACAGAAAGACGGATTCATTCGTAAATAGTATTTATCTCTCTGCTTTCTATAAGGAAATTTAGCTGCAGCGCCACAGCCAAATCTCGGCTAATTTCTGTACTACTTTAAGACACTATTATTACTTGCATTCATCTAGGTACACTCACGACCACAGCTTCTCTTGGAGAAGCTAAGGACGATGACCAGCAGCTTACGCTTCTCTATAGCGCACGGTCAGTACTCTCTCCATTTAATTCTCGCAGCTCCCTTGATCCTTTGCTTTTGTTTCTTCTCTTTAGTTTACTTCTCACGCGCTCTACAGGCTTTGCTGTGCAGTCTAAGTGCAATTGCCAGGAACAACCACGAGAATCTTTGATGCCATTTTCGGGGCCACTGGCTAGCTGCTGGCTAAACTTCTGTATATGTATACTGCCTACGTGCAAGTAAGAAAACATTTCTACCAACATGGTAGCAGTGTATGTATACAATAATAGCATCTTATGGCAAGTTAACAGTTACGATTACATGTCTTCTATACGTAACCGATACGACGATTGAAGAATTAAGTCGGTTTCTCCTTAGCCGCTTCATCGCAGAAACTAATCGATTCCGCGCGATTTTTACGAAGATTATTTTTTTTGTTCTTGACTCGAGATCTGGAATCCCCGTTGATTTACCAGATCAACGAATCGATTAACTAACCCGTAATGGAGCTTGAGGCCATTTCTTGTTCTTGAGGAGTTTACCACCTGGCAGCGTTTATTTCTCTCTCCCCCCCCCTCCTCTATATATATACACGGTGGGGCATTTATAGTGACCAGGTCTATTTTTTTCGGAAACGAAGCCAGATATAAAAAGATCTTCCAGACAGATATTGTAGGGTTTTAAGGGAGACCCGGGTAAATATTTGAAGGCGTACAACAGATTGATGTCACATTTATATCGTACAACAGGCTAATAACAGTCTCGTTTGTGAAATAGGAGGCGTACAACAGGCTCATGACAGCCCGGGTAAAACTTTAAAGGCGTACAACAGGTTGATGACACATTTAAGTCGTACAACAGGCTCATAACACTCGATTTTGACCGGTTGTCAACCTGTTGTACGCTTCCAAATTTTTATCCGGGAGATCGAAGATTCGGTTATTGAATTCCTTCTTGAGTGCAGGCTTTAAGGTAATTTGAAGTTTAACTTTCATTTTTTCAATGGGATGATGCAGTTTTTCTTCCGAAAATCAAAAGAACATTCAGTTTTGAGTACAAAAGTACAAGCACACTAATAGCCTACAATTGACATGTGTAGCTAATAAGATATTTTAACAATCAAAAAAATGTCCGTTCTCTACATTACCTGGGATCTATTGTCTACTATGACCTCTCTCTCACCTCCGCTTCACACCCCATTTTATAAGGAATGGGGAACTGGACCAATTTCTTAATTGTGGTACTATATAACAACTATGAATATTGATGTCTTATGTAAATAATATGCTTATATTAAAAAAAAAATGATATTAAAAATTGTATTGCACATGACAAAATGGCCGTCAAAACCTCATATGCGGTGCTGCTGTCTCGCGGATTAGTGAGTAAGCATTAGATAATATAACATTTTGCATCGCCGACCATTCGTTGCCAACTTGCGAACAGCAGAATTTTTAATCATGGTATGTAGTACACAAAATACAGGGGTTGGTGGATTATTTAAAATGCATACTAACCACATTTCTAAATCAACTTTTGGTAAATTCTGCGAAGTTGCCACTTCGATATCATTTTCTATGCATTCTGCCATTATGATAAAACGAACGTGCATACGTTACCAATATCACTTCTGTGATATTATAGGTTATATTATGAAAAGGTAAAGGCTCGAGTACGGAAATTCTTCACTGGCTATTTGGCTATAAAATAAACTCCATATAAGGATATGAGGTCGTGACGTCACGACCAATCACAGTGTTTTCGCTTCAGCACTTTATATCAATATTTTATCAAATTTTAACATTGATTTTCTTGATATTTAAGTGACAAATAAAATATTTAATCAGCGTTCTGGCATTCTACGATCACATTCTAGCAAACTATTTAGACAGTTTTTGAATTCCCGTCACAGTCCAGTTCCCCATTCGAGTCCTCGTGGAGCGTGAAACGCGACGAAATTTGAGCCAGGCAACTTCCTGTAGCATATCATTTTTATCGAAGATCATCAGATTTTATAGATTTCGACGAGATGTAGAGTTCTACATAGTAAACATGAATAGTTCTATTCTTATAACTGCACAAGAAATACTTTCATCAACTTATTTCGAATATGTATATACAAAACGAGTACAGTGACTCCCATTACATCTTCCCGTGTACGTAGACCAGTTTTGGGCTCCTTTTGGGTCCTAAATCACAGTATTAGCACTCTTTCATAAATATGAGAAAAGTACAGCTTCTAACAAATTTTGAATATTTGTTAAAAATTGTTATCGACAATTCAGCCACATGAACGTGATCTGCTCGTGTATAGGCACGAGTTCTGGGCTCCTTATAGTTCCTAAATTATAGAACTAGATCATTTTCCCATACGACAATACGTTAAAACAGAACTCCCATTTATTTCTGATATGCTGAAAATTGATATCTGCTAACTTCACACGCATAAGAAAAATTGCAACATCCCATTGAAAAAAAAAATGACAGTTGACCTTTATTGACAGAATTTCATAACGGAATCTTCCATCTTCCTTAAAACCCTACAACTTCTCTCTGAACTATTTTTTTTATATATGGCTTCGTTTCCGAAAAAATTGACCTGGTCACTATAACTGTTCCACCCTATATATATATATATATCCTAGGATCCTAAGATCTTAGTGATCGGTTTCCGGTTTTCTGGTATGTGGCGTGAGTCATCATTGTCGGAAATCGACTCCAACAGCCTTTACGGAGTTTAACCCTCTTTTGCAGTACAGTCCTGCCATTGCATACCGGTTATTGGATATCGAATTTCTGTCGGTAGTTTCGACCCCTGCCAGTCTCTGCCACTCTCTGCCAATACTCTGGCAAATCGAAGTTTTCAGGAAGGTTGAAAAGTCTCAGGATAACGATTGCTCTTATGAAAGAAGAATGATGCCTTTCTAGAACGACCAGTGTGTTATGCATTTATGGACATTTTTATAGCTACTAAATTCTACGAACTTTAGATAAAATATATCGGGTACTACAGCTGGGATACGACCATTCGCTTTAGAATCCATTGAATCTATAGATTTTATTGATTTTGTATAAAAAATCGAAACGTCTTTAAGTGCGACGAATATCCATCTGCATTGCGTTTCGATGAAAATATCTAATTTCCCCTAAGAAAGCTTTTCCCGAAAATGTTCAATGTTGTTTTGAGTAAATCATATTGCTTTCGTTATGATTTCTATTATTTATGGATTTTAGGACACAATCGGATTCGATTTTTGAGACAAGATACGAATACAGGAAAAAGTACTTCTCGGCAAAAGACAAACGGCGATGCGGCATAATGGTTGGATTTTTTCGACTTTTAATATCTTCGTCGTTAGAGCGAGTTAATGGCCTTCTCCATTTCTCATTACCGTAAGCCTTTAATTGGCTAGGATTGATGGCACTAATTACAATCCAATCAGGATCACCTACGCTGAGCTATTGTCACTTCGTATACATAGATATAGATATAGATATATAGATATTTCGCTAATCCTTGTGCTGCTATTCTATTGATATCTACAAGGACTGCAACTCGCCTTTGACTATCCTAATAATCCTGATTAGAATGCACGATACGATCCTAGAGTAGTTTACCACGCTAATGTATGGTCATTCGTACGTAATAAATAATACAATTGAAAAATTTAATATAGACGTAATTTACTACATTTATGTAATTTATCTCTACCTAAATTAAAAAGAGATTTTTTAGTTTATTTTTATATTATCGCTTTTTTGACATAATATAACTGTAATATATAATACATATAATTTCACCTAATCGCTCACACATAAAATTATATTTTTTTTTTATGTTTCCATTCTGACTACAGCTGGAATCTTTAATCAACACACTTGTTCGTCAATCCTGATAACAATAAAACGATTGATAAAGCGATACGCCAATAATTTTTATTGCACAGATTAAGCCCTGGTATGGATTGCGAGTGGCAGCATTTCCTCTTCCGGCTCCCTAAAATCGATGAACCGTAACGTAATACCTACACTTCCCACCTCAATCCTACCGGAACAGCTAACCGCTCCGTTGTCATTTGCTTTTGGATGAAACCATGCAAACTCTAGTTACCGAAATACACGTCACCCTATAATTTCAAAGCTGAGCTTACAAGCTTCTCGGATTTCAGCAAAATTTCCCTCTTGCTCATTTTTCCCTCTCAATTATGCTTACCAGTCGTGGTATATACGTATTTATGTGCCGCGTACTCTTTCAGGCAGAAAATGTCCTCGACTGCTGTAATATACACAAAGCAATATGCCACAATTCTATTACATGTACATATATCAATATATATACATATATAGTGTAACAGTAATTCCGCGAAATCAGAATTAAGGAAAAGTTTTTCACCGCGACGAATTCCTATTGATTTTCAAGATGCACCACCTGTACAATGAGTACCTCGAAGTCTCCGCAGGAAGTTTGCGTCGCTCGAGTAATTTCCTATTTCGGATATCCGAGGACAAAGTCACCTCCTCCGATCTCTTCCTGCTCATACCCAGGATTATTAAAAGGACGAGGATCCCTCGCCGAAGAGTTTCACGCTCTCTCGAATTCTCCTCCGCCGGGACTTTGAAGATAGCAAACGCATTCGCATTTCCAAGCCACGGCAGAACCTTTATATCAGCACGAAGACAACTTCCATAGTATATACAATACATATATATATATATATATATATATATATATGTGCATGTATATATAAATACCTACCGTTTAAACGCTCTTGATCCGCTTGCGTGGATATTGGATCTCAATTCTCCTTCCTCCTCCTCCTCCTCCTTCTACTCCTTCTCAACCTCCCTCCTTGAGAGTAGCATGAGAAAGGTTGTGGAAGTGATCCAGATGGATGAGCAGAATGCTGGATAAATAGATATCAGGAAACCGCTGGCTCGGCTTCTTTCCCTGTTATGGGAACGCGCCTACTTCTTCTCGACGTCTTCAAGAAGTTGGGAAGCTTCCCTATACTTTCTATACACTTTATCGGTTATTCCGCTTTTGTGTACACTTCATCGTTTGGTGCTGCACCATACTGCGGGAGCTATATCCTTGCACCCTGGATCGCAGCCAATAGTTTCCGTATCCTGCGCGAATCTCCATTGGGCAAACAGTGTTGAGCTCATTTCGTATTCCACGTAGGAATTAACGATCTTCCATCCGATTCCTGTTGTCTCGCGCTCTCTCCTCGGTATTCCA